ACCTGGATAATTCAATGGAATAGTTTAATTATATATATTATCTGATCCTGATATACCACCTACTTTACCATATGTAGAAATCTAATTAAGTGGATCTGGAGCATATCCTAGATTATTATTTGATAAAAAAGAAATCATTCTTCCTGTTGTACCTCTTGGCATTTAGTCTAGGTGTTTCTTTCGTATTATTAATGATGGATATGAAAACTTAAATTTAAAATATAATTGGGCTTAAGAAATTAGTAACTTTAATTTAGATCTTAAATTTCCTGAAGGAACTACTCTAGGTGTAGCCAAAAGTAAATTAAGAGTTGAAGTTGTCTTTAGTAATAAAAAACCTTTGAGTTTTACAACCAGAGTTGAATTTATTGATGAAGCCAGAGTATATTCAATATACATTTCTGGAACTACAGATAATTGTATCTTTACTAATTAATCATTCCTTTGGAGAATGGGAAGATATTAATTAGAAGTAGAAGATAAAAAACCAATCCTGTATGTTGAAGATGAAAATGTTGATTCTGATAATGAAAAATATGCAAAACATAGTTTTTCTGTTAGATCAAGTACTTCATCTAAAGGTACAGCTAATTTAGGTTATACTCCTGTTAGAAAAGAACTATTCGATTAAGCTTCTGAATATATAATTAGATGGCTCAACTATCACGTACTTACTACTACTATTACTATGTATCCTGAAGAAGTCATCAATTCTAATGGATAATAGATTTTTGAATTGATTACTTTCTTAACAGGAAAATAGAATTTCTCATATAAATAAAATGTTGATCCTAATTGGAAGAAATCATAAAGAGCAGAAGCACTCTATAAACAATATGATGAAATGATTAGATAATTAAAAATAGAAGGAGCTTTATTAAATCATATTAGATCAGAATATTTGTTAAGTTATTAAGATTATTTAGCTTGGTTAAAAGTTTAACCACCTAATAAATTTGAGAATGTTCCTGAAAATATGTTAAGACTTAATCCAACTAAATATAATTATTTATAATAAGATGCATGGATATCTTTATTTTATCAAATTATGAAAATCTATTATTTAAATCGAATCACTGTCAAAACATTTAAAGCACTCCCTGGTATACCTACTTCCAAATTAAGTATTCCTGAATATTATTTAGAAGGATCCAATCTTATTTCATAACCAGAAGGTATACTTCTTTACTTTTATGAAATATGTTATGAAATGCAACATCAAATTCATAAACGTATCAAGAATTTTGATTAAGATTTCAAAGATTCAACAATCATCTCAGATGCTCTGACTACCTTCATCGGACCTTCTATGAATAAATTCTTTATTAATTTTCGTAGTTCTTGTCATCATGAAGAAGATTATAAACATAACACTGAAAAATTAATGCCAGCATTATAAGATTTTGGTCTTCAATCTCACATTTAATCTACTGATATCTATCGTCCATAATGTAGAGAAATGATTATGTTATTAGTTCAATTATTCTTTTCTTTACCTTATTACATTCCTTAAAAAGAACCTATATTCTTTTCTTGTGTATTAGGTGAAGAAGTAGTTAAAAGTATTGAACTTAAGAATCCTACTTAAAAACCAATAAGTTATTGGGTTAAATATGAAGGACACCCTGATTTTTAATTAGAAGGAGATGAAAGCATTAAAATTGAACCAGATGTTCCATATCAATATAAAATTAAATTTACATCAAGAATATCATAACCTGTATCTGGAAGAGTGATTTTCACAAACAAAAAAGAATCAAATATTTAAGCTGCAGCTTTAGTTTTTGAATTAAAATCAAGTATAACTGGTAGAAAATCCGAAAAATAATGGAATGTAAGTTCAATCTTATATGAAATATTTGACTTTCAAATTTAGATAACAAATAAGTTCTTATAAGATGGTGAATTTTAAATAATTATAACTCATGAGAAAAAATAAATAGAATAATAAAAAAAGAAGGGTAAATCTAACTAATAATAAATTATCAGTTAAGAGGAGGAATTTCCAGCATTTTTTTGTTAATAAGAGAAAGTTCGTATCCGTAAGAATTAAACTATTAATTTAACATTATAATATATTCCATTAACAATGGATACTCATAAATGTTAGATAGTTCTTACAGATCCATAAGTTGGCGAATTTTAACATGATTTATAAGGAACAGTTGAATTACCTAATTTATCAGGTGAATTTAAACCTGAAAAACCATTATATGTAGATTAAACTATTTAAATTCCATATTAAATACCTTTTAAGAATGAATATATTATAAGAGCAAGATAACAAATTTAATAGATAATGTAAATAAAATAGAAAAATAAATAATAATAAGTTGGTGGAGATAAAATAAATACATAGAATAATTTTTAGAATAAATTAGTTTTTCCAGGTAGTAATATAGATTAAATCACATTTGAATTGGAAGTATTTCCTTAAACATAATATTTATAAATTCCATAAATATTGACAGTTGGAGATGGAAATAAGAAATAAATAGATCGTAATAATGATGGTAAATTACCAATAACATATGCATTTAAAAATGCAACAAAAGACTTTAGTGTAATATTAACATTAAAAAATAAATTTGATATTAGAAGATATAAATTATCAGCTTCAGTATTACCAAAAATAGTCAAAGCAACATTAGAGTTTAGAGTACCAGCTAGATAATAAGTAATTTAAGAGATTCCAATAGTGAATAATTCAGATAAGGAATGGAGTATAAAAGTATAGATAATTCAACCATAAGATGGATTATTCTAATGCCCAAATAAAGATTTTTAGGTAAAGAAAAAATCAACAGGTTTATTTCCAATAACATTTAATCCATAATGGATATCATAATGTGAAGCTAGATTAGTATTGAGTAATCCATAAACAAATGATGTATTTGAATATGATTTGATTGGAATAGGAGAAGAACCAGTGGCAGAAGAACATATAATTTTAAATTGTTAAGCTAGAAAATAAATGAAAAGAGAAATTGAGATAAAGAATAATTCAGATAAGATGATCACTTATAAAGTAGAAACTGATTTAATTTATGCAACAGGTCCATCTACAATAACTGTATAAGCAGGGAAGAAAGCTATTTATTAATTAATAGTTTAACCAGTATTATCAGGATAATATACTGGATCAATAACTTTTACAGAAGAAAATGGAAGATATTTATGGTATACTGTTTTTATGAATACTGAATCACCAAAATCCGTATAGACTTTAGAATTATCATGTTTAATTAGATAAGCAACAGTTATTTAATTAACACTTGCTAATCCATTACCTGAAACAGCAATTTATGAAGCAATAATAAATGGGGATGGTTTAATAGGAGAAGATTAATTTGCAATTGGAGCAAATAAAGAAGGAAACTATGAATTAACATTTGCACCTCTTAAAGTTGGAAGATGGAGAGGTAGTGTTGCATTTGTTAATCGTTAACTTGGTGAAGTATGGTATGAATTCATATTAACATGTGAAGAATAACCAATAATTAAATTAAATGTACTCAAAGCATCTCTAGGAAAAGTAGAATAATAAACTGTTATTTTAGAAAACCCATCTGATACCAAAATTAATTTACAACATAAAATATCTAATCCAACTAATTTTGATATTTCTCCAGATGAATTGATCATTTAACCTTATGACATTTTAAAAGTCAATATTAAATATACACCCTCTTCACTTGATTAAATAGAATAATCTGAAATTATATTTACATCACCTATTGGTAAATGGCATTATTTAGTTTTTGGTAATGGTTTGCCACCTACTAAATTCCCAGCAACCACTGTTAGTATTGGATTAAATAAAGATTATAGTTCTGTTGTTCATTTTAAAAATCCTTTTAAAGATCCTATTACAGTCAAAGTTGATTTAGAAGCTGAAGGACATAATAAAAATGTATTCAAATTACTTACTACTAAAACTGATAAAATACTTGTTCCTGGAATGAATGTTTTATAAATTCCTTTCTCATTCGTACCCAGAGAAATCACTAGCTATTATACTGAAATTGTTATTTAAATGAATGAAAAAATTTCATGGAATTTCCCTATCAAAGGTGTAACAGAAAGTGTTTCCAATTAAACCTTATTTCATTTTAAAGCTAAATGCAGAGATAAGTGGGAAGATGAAATCAAAATTGGTCTACAAGGAATTGCTTAAAGTTTATAAGCTGATGATAAATTTGATTTTGAATTAGCAAATATTCCTATTGATTTATAACAGATGATTAATAAATGCTTCAGTGTTAAGTGTACTAAAAATTACCTTAATAATCCTCATGAAAATCTTCATTTTGCAATCAGATTTTAACCTATGAAACCACTTAAAGCCAGTCTTGAATTTATAGTTCTCAGATAAAGTGGAGGCAGATGGAAGTATATATATTTTAATATATATTTATTAGATATAAAATAGTCTTAGAAGCCACTTAACCTGATGAAGATGATGTCATCATAATCAGTTCGCCTTTAAATAAAACTACAAGTGTTTCATTTAAATTAACTAATAAAACTAAAGGTTACGCTAAATTTTATGCTGGATTCACTCCTGAATCTGATGCTGAATTTTCTGTTATACCTAAAATTGGTGATCTTGAACCATATGGAAGAGAGGGCACTACTTTTGTTATTTCATTTACTCCAATAGAATATGGTAAAATTAGAAAAGGAAAATTAGTCATTCAAACTGAGGAAATGTACTGGTACTCAATTTATTTTAATCTAGGTCTTATTTAATTAAGGGAATCCTTCCAAAGTATATACCTCCATAAATCAAATAATCTAATATAGATAATCATTAAAATAAATCCTAGATTTAATAATCTACTATTATTGATTAATCCAAAAATTATATTGTTGAAAATATTAAAAAAGCAAGATAACTTACTCCACCTGCATCCAAAAGATAGAATTTTTTAGAAGCTTCTTTTATCAAAAAATGAAATATCTACATATTTTTATATTTATAAAATAATATTACAATATCATTTTTTATCAAGATCATCTTAGTTCAACAATTTTGTTGTTTCCTTGCTAAAGTAATTCTTAGATTCTAATTGATTCTTTTATGTTAATAATTCATCTCTTAAAATTATAAATATTTATCATTACCTCACTTCATTTACAACTTTATCACTAACTCCAAAATAATCTAATAAATTATATAGAAAATGCTTTTAGAAGTTTGGATCAAATTTCAAAGCTGTATCTATTTGTTTTCATTTATTTTTGCTAGACCTCTCATATATTCAATTGGATTATAGAGGCCTAAAAAAGATGTTAGAATTCAAATACCTGTGATAGCTGCAGTACCCAATATATAAAATGATGTAAAAACAATTGATTAAATTGTGCCATATTTAATTACTTCTCTAAACCAAAATTTCTATGGAGAGAATAACTTTTTTGAATAATGTTTGAAATGTATTGTGTAATACATTGTAAATCCTGCAGTAATCAAATTGAATGGTACAAGTAAATACAATCTATAATTTGGTAAATATTGTTATTTATATTTCTATTCAAGTATTTTTAACTATTCTTCAGTTAAATTATCAATGTTATCCATTCTTATCTCATCGTCATCCATCACAAATAATTTTATAAATAATATAATATTTTCAAACAAATAAGGAGAGAGACATTTAATAAAAAAGATATTGTGAAAAATAGTTCAAATTGATAAATGGAATGAAAAGGATTACTAATTTTAAATGATTAAAGAATTTAAAAAAAAGTAAATATAAATATAAAAAAGTATAAATTTTAATAATATATCAGTTGATTCATTCATCTACCCATCTTAATTTTTTTCCATCTTCCCATTCTCCTACTCTTTCAATTCCATTGCTTCCTCTATAAAGACCTTAACCATGTTATTATCCATCTTTCCAAAAACCTTTATACATTCTTCCATCTGGCCAGAAGAATTCTCCAAAACCATGTTTTTTATCATCAAAGTATTATCCTTTATATTTCCTTCAATCTTTCCATGTAAAAATACCATTTCCATCCATTTTATTATCTTTCCAATCTCCTGTATATTCTCTAGAATCAGCCCATTTATAGACTCCTTTACCATGAATATTATTAAATGCAAACTCTCCAGTGTAAGTACTACTGTCACTCTATGTAAATGTTCCAATTCCATGTTTTAATCCCATATCATAATCACCTTCATACATAGCTCCATCAATCCATTTTTCAATTCCAAAACCATGTTATTTATCTTCTTGCCATTCACCTACATATGAAGCTCCATCTTTATGATAATAAGTTCCTTTTCCATGAGCTTTATCATTAAACCATTCTTCAATGTATACATCTCCATCAGCATGAATTAATCTACCTTTTCCATTGGCCATATCTGACATGAAATAACCTTCATAAATAGAACCATCAGCCCAATGTTATTTACCTCTTCCTTATCTCATTCCATTTTTCCATTATCCTTCATAGTACATTAGTTTCAATTTCTAATACTCCTGAATAAGATAGAAGAAATATACCCTCAGTTGGATCATTATATTAATATGGACCTAATCTAATTAATGCTTCTTAAGTAAATTAATTTGAGAAATCAGGTATTACATTAAGAGTTTTGAGATTAGATCTAATATGTTGAGTTTATTGAGAACATTAAGATAATTTTGGTTAAAAACTTAAATTTTCTTAATTATCAGGTGCCTTTTTAGTTGGTTTAATTTCATTGCGAGATTCATATACATGTTAATCATCACATGTTGCACAATTTCCCATTTTTGACTGTTATAATATTTATTATGTTATCTAATCGATCAAATAAGGATACTAAAGAAGTTAAACGAATAAGTTTAATTCCAAGTAGATAGGAATAATAATAATAAGAATAAGAATATAAGTACATTTAACCTGTAAAAACTGTAAATTTAGAGAATCAGGATCCAAAATGGTCAGAATTAAAAGTTGATGGAAAGAATATCAAACATAGGGCATATACAAGTATAACAATTCATAATGATTTGTATATTATAAATTATAATATAGCTTATATTTATATGGAGGATATTAAGTATAACTCGGAATCATGGATGAATTTTATCGTATGAATTTAAAGAGTTTAAGTTACTAATGGGAAAAGTTAACTTACAAGGATAACCCTGGACCAAGAACTAGACACTAAATGTGTACTTATGCAGATAAAATTTACATTTTTGGTGGCTAAATACATTAATCTATATCCACTAATTCCATGTGGTATTTTGATCTAAATTCTCATACTTGGATCAAATGCAAAATTAATCAATCTTATCCTCCAGAAATAGATAATCATAGTGCAATTATCCATAATGATAATTGGATTATATTTGGTGGTTTTTTTGGAGGAACTGTTGGTTTACATTCTAATTATGTCTATAAATATGAATTTGCTTCAAATACTTGGTAAAGAATCCAACCTTAAAATAATACTGCACCTACTCCTAGAGATGGAGCTGGTATTGCTATTCATTAAAATATTCTATATATGTTTGGAGGATCTAATGGACATTAAAGATTTAATGATCTTTGGAAATTTGATTTCTAAGTATGGACATATATTCCTGTCAGTTCTAATATCTTACCTAAAGTCAGATCAGGACATGTTATGCTTGCTCATTAAGATAAAATTATTATCTTTGGTGGTATTCATGATATTACTTGGGAATTAGATGATTTATTTATTTTTCATCTCAAAAAAATGGAATGGATTAGTGTTGATGAAGATAGTGCAAGGAGAAAAGATAGATAATAGTTATCTCCTAATAAAGATAATAAATAAGATCTTTAACATTCAAGAAGATAATTTAGAAAATCTAACAGAACTGGTAGTATTAAAAAAACTATTAAAAGAACAACTCTCTCTCCACTTAAAAAACCAGATTAATCTGAAGATAGTTTAGAATCACCTACTAGAAATTTATCTTAAGCTTAATCTAATTAAAAAACACTTGATGAAAAAAAAAGAAAAGAAATCTAATAAAAAAAAATGGCTCTATTAAAAATATTTGAAGTTGATGAAGGTTAAAAAGTATAATTAAGAGATAATTCACCAACTTCAGAAAAAATGAGAAATTCATTATTCTTGGTTGGCAATCCAAAAGCTGATTTAAAAATTAGATAAGGAAAATTAACAGAATTTGGAAAACCTTTGGTTTCAAAGTAAAATTTATATTATTATTAATCAGATTCCTTTAACCACTTTAATCTATGCAAAATTCTATTGTTGGAAAGAAACCTTGCGCTCGAGATGGACATTCATTTACAATCTATAATACTTAACTTATCATTTTTGGAGGAGATAGACATTAAATGTCTTTTAATGATATACATTCTTTAGATTTAACTAAAATTTGATAATTATTTTATAAATTAAATCTTTTAAGAATTCAATCAATTTTTTTATATTTTATTATAATTTATAACGTTTTAAACAATTCTTATAATTTTTATACCAAAAAAACATCTACAAGTTTCTTATAAAATTAAGGATTACACTTTAATCTAATTAACTATTCTCAAATCTTTATTAGGTTAACTAATAACTTGTAATTAATTTAAAATTTTTACATATATTTTAAGTAGTTTTATAATTGCATTTTTATTATATAATATAAATTATTGATCGAAAGTTTGACATAATTAAAATTATTTTTATTCATAAATTCCTCCTAGTTTTATTTTCTCATATACAACCTCTCTCCCCATAAATTCCTGCTGAAAAGAAAATATATACGAAAATATAAGTAAATTCAAAAAATAATGTGGAAAAAAATTTAATCGTTTTGTGAATATGTATTATCGGAAATTATGTTACCAATCAAAATTTCAAATATTCTTTTTTCATACGAATATATTCTTGAATATTAGAGATTTTTCACTTTAAATAAATCTGATGTATTGATTTAAAGAATTCTTAAATCGTTTCGCTGCATTGAATAAAAATAATTAAAATAATTTTTATTTATATATATATAAATTCGGTTAGATCATACTAAAAAAATATTAATATAATGAGAGATATTTGAATATTTAAAATGTTTATTTTAAATCTCATAAAAACATATCTTTTTAGTGGTATAAATGCACAGCTTTTTATTTCGATATTAATAATTAAAATGTAAAAATTCTTAACAATCGCATTACTTATTCTCTGTATCACAGCCAAAAAATATCACAAATCAGATGAGAAAGAACCTGAAAAATAACCTGAGAAATAGCCTGAAAAAGAGCCTGTTTAAGATTCTAATCCTATGGTTTAATGCCTTGAAAAAAACTGTATGAATGAGGCATTTGGATGTTTCTTCGATGAGGAATGTGCCAAAACTATGGATTCTTGTGAAAAAGAGTATGGAGATAATATTAGAATAGATGAGGTAACTAATTATAATTATTTCTTTAGCTTGTCAAATGCTCATCCGATAATAAAATAGCTATTGTTTTTTCTGAGTGTATGGAAAAAAACTGTAACAATTTAGGGAAGATAATGAGATTTTTAAATAGAAGAAACTGAGCATTGTGATGATTTAATTTTACATATATCCAAAATAGTCATCATTTTTCTAAAATATTATTCTTATTTAAGACCAAACACACCAAGTTTTTAAGTGATGCAAGGTTTAATTTTTTAATTTAGAATACATTTTTGAGTCTAAACATCAAATAAAGTTAATCATGATTGTCGAGATAAATAAAATAAGACGATACGATGAAAAGTTTGGTTCATGTTTCACAAGAATATTTATATTAATTTTTTAATTAATATATTTTATATAATTATCAAAAATTCTTATAAAATTTTATAGTTTATCTCATATTGTCTTTTTTTGGAATCATGTTAAATATAATATGGAGTATTTTAATAAAATTAAATTTCTAAAATTTGATTCCGATTTTGATTGAAATATCTTAATTATAATAAATGAATATTTGCCATTTTAAAAACTAAATCGATAATGCTAACAGTATGTTTGATGACGAATCAAATTAAAATAAGTTAGTAAAAACAAAACTCAGCATTTAAAAAAAAGTAGATATGTGAGCATCTATTTGAGGATAAAGTGATTAATCAGAAATTTTATAGATTGATTAAACTCAGAAATTCCAGACATAGAAGTTGAACAATATCTATATAATAACAATCTTGAATACTATCCAACTTTCCAATAAGAAGAATTCATTTATTATTTTTTTATCTTATAGAACATCTCAAAACTAAAAATGGGACTGGTACTAAATAGGCTATTGATTAATAAACTAAAAAGCTCGAAGAATGGATTTTCAGTTTAAGAAATAGAAATGGTTAGAAACTAGTAAGGGAATTTAAAGTTAAGAAATATTTAGAAAAGAAAAGAAAAAGAACTTACAGAAAAAAATATCATTATTAAGTTAAGGTAAAAAATGGCAGATGAAAGAATGTAAATTAAAAGAAGGTTTTTTACTTGGAAATAGGTATACAATAGAATCTAAAAATAGGCTATTACAATGTTAGATGCAGATTAATCTAAGAAAGAATGGAATGATTACTTTAGAATCAAGGCTTTGTTATAATTAAAAGATAATTGAGTTAATAATCTCTGATTCTTTAAATACACTTTAAGATTTTTAAATTTCTGATTATATAATATTAATTAATTATAATAACTATTCATATAATAGAATCTAATTATTGAATAGATATTATCATTTAGTTCAGATTATCGTTTAAATATATCGATTATAGATTTTTGATATATTGATTAAGTTTGTATGTTGAGAGTCATCTTTATAAAATTTGTATTAAATATATAAAATATTTAAAATATAAAATAATAAAGTCATCCTAAAAAAAGTGTATTAGAAGTGCTTTTTGTATTTTTGGAGAGATTATTTTCATAACTATAACCACTAAATAGATTTTAGACTGAATTTTTTTTAAGAAGGATTTTATTTTCTTTAATTAAATCATCTTGACTATCATTATCTTCACTAATTTAATTTAAATATTCAATATTGTCATCAATTTCCTAAATGAAAATATTATATTATACTTTTGGAATATAAGGAGATTAGATTTCTTTATTTAGAAGTTTTGACCATGGAAAATTTTTAAGCCAAGGATGATTTTTAACTTCATCTGGTCCTTTAAAGCCTAATCTATTGATTGGTTTTCTTTATATTAATTTGTTAATAAAATCAGCTCCTTCAATAGACCAATCATTAGGAATTTCTGATTTTTTAATTTAGATCTATCTTGTAAGTATTTAATCTCTAATTTCTTATCTTGATCTTCCATTATAAGGTCTTCTTCCCAACATAAATTCATAACCTATAATTCCTAAAGCAAAATAATCAACAGCAATAGTATGATTTTATCTACACATTACTTCTGGAGCTAAAAAGTTTTTGAAATAGATAGATACCCATATACCCAGGAGTACCACTGGTATCTTAAGAATTATCTGGTTTCCATGTTCTGGCAATTCCAAGATCTGTTAATCTAACATATCCTTATTTATCCAAAACCAAATTTTCTGGTTTAAGATCTCTATGAATTATATTATTATTATGTAAATATTCTAATGATAATATAACACAAGCTATAAAGAATTTAGTTTGATATTCTTTAAATCTTCTCATTTTACTTATATGATATCTTAAATCACCACCTGTTAATAAATCCATCACTAAATATAAATTGTGTCTATCTTAAAAACAATAATTCATATTAATTAAGAAAGGATGTTTATATTCTGCTAAAAGATTTCGTTCATTCATAACTGAATTAACACTTCTTTTAGCAATTACTTTTGCTTTAGACATTTCTTTCATTGCATATAATTATTTAGATTTCTTAATTTCAACTTTCCATACTTTTCCAAACCCACCTTTCCCAATAACATAATGAAATTGAAAACTATTCTTATTTACTTAGATATTACAATCTAACACTAATTTTTCTAATTCATTATCATTTGAATCGATTAAATCATTTTATTTGATTGACCTCTTAGAATTTTATTATCTAGATTGATGTTGAAAATTCATCATAGAATTAAAAATATTCTCAAAACCTTTGGAGTATTTATATTTATAAGGGACTTATAATTCCTATTGTTAAATACTAATCTAAGGCACTTAATTAATGTTTGGACATAATTTATCAATAGTATTATTTTCTTTAATTAAACTGTCTTATTATTTGAATTAATTATCTAATTATCTAGTTTAATGAACACTCGAAAATTTTGGTTAAATAAATGAAGATATTTTTTAGACTGTAGTATTTGGAGATCTAGAATTTTTTCGGGCAGTGTTTCTATTTATAATATTAAGATTCTCAAAACAAGTAGATTCGAGAGGGGACTAATCTTTTGATTAATTATGCGATTATATTTATGAGTCTTATTAATAATCTTATGACATTAATTTAGATAAAACTATATTATTACCTCGAGAACTTAGATTAAAAATATATTATCATACTTCTCTTTATGAAATGAATTGTTTCTACTACTATTAATGTTTATAGCACTCTAATTCCTAGAATGCTTGGATTAAATTTGATAATGCGACTGATCTTATTTTGGCATATTCAATTACATTATCTTAACTTTCGTAGGTGTTACACTCCTTTAAGAAGATGGACTTTGTCTATTTTTAGTAGTTTTCTAAGCAATTTAAAAAAAACTAGTAAATTAACTTAATCCTAATGGAAATTTGTTAATTTATTTAGAATGCTCATTAAATGATTCCTTTATTATATTAGTATATTATCTTACAGGTTTTGCCTTAATTAAATTAAGTTTAGTAGGAAATAAATCTTTGAGATTACGGTGGTTAGACATTGTTAATATAATATAAATATAAATAATTAAACAATTTATAAGTTCAGTAATGAGAATTCTACAGTAATTAAGAATTACAATAAAGACTATCTGTGAATACTAGAATAGATTTGGATGAAGCTATTATAAAATGAATGATATTAAATTATTATATATATATATTTAAGCTGAATCAATCTAATGTTTAATTTTATTTTTACCACCAAGAAATCTGTTATTTAAAGGAGGTTCTTCTAGTTCTTCTACTATTGGTTATTAAACAACATGCTATGGTTTAATTTACTTAAAAGCTGTAAAGTCAATAGTTCTCTTTTCATGTCTATGAGTACTAATTTCTTCAGGTTATCTTGGTATTTCTCCCAATTATAATCTATTAATTGGTGTTGCACCTTTTGCTGAATGAATTTCAATCATTTAACATGGTTTATTTTCAATCGTTATTTAAAGGTTCTTCTTCTTCATTGTTTGATTTGGGATTATTTTCTCAAAAACACATTTCTTTATACAAAATACTTCTCCTATTGTTGAATTACAAAAAACATCATAAGTATAATTATCATTGTGAACTTCATCCATTCCAATTACATCCATCACCTTGAAAGTCTATAAGGATAATCATTATTTATTATCTTACACGAAGCTATTTCTATATTTGAGGTTCCTAAGCAAATATTTTACTTATATATGATAATGGATTCTTTGATTAAGACTTTACTAACATTCAATAGTTTAAATAATGATACCATATTTCACTTAAACAAATTCACCCTTTGTTACGACATATACATGTTTTGGTACTTCAGTTGATACAAAGATCTTTGAATTTAGACAATACTATCTAAATTATTATACTTCTTATGGCCATTTTTTTAATGCTTATGATACTGCCATCAAATCATTTTTAGTCTTATCTTATTTGTATATAAATTTCAAACATTCCTGCCTTCGTTAATTATGCTTTTACCTGTTGAATTTGTTCCATTTTTTAATTTATTATGAATAGTTATTTAATAAGTAAGTACTCTCAATCAACTCATTATCATTATAAAAAAGGAATAAATGACATTTTGGAAGGAAAAAGATGTTAATTGCTAATCAAACTTAAAGATCTATAATGCTACGACACACCTCAAGAACACTTAACTAAATATTATCACATTAATCAGTTAAGAGATAAATTACATATGTTAGGAGAATATTATAAAGTATGAAATTCAATAAATCAATCAGTATCATAATGACATACCTCGTTTATTTATGATTCCTGCCATTATTCCCTTAAATTATTTTCATGATCGCAAAAGAAGACTAGCATTTTTTAGAATTGCTCGGTTAATTGCTTAAGAAAATCATAACAACCCAGATAAACCATAAAAAGGAATAGTAGGTGATTCTCCTATTCCTTTGACAAGTGAATAAATTACTCCACAAGATCCAAGTTCATCTGATGAAGTACTATATAACTAAATTATATTAGATTCTCTCGAAAAATGATAAAATCTTATAAGGAATTAGTTTCCTAATTTAAGAACCAGATTCTATAGAATAAATCAAACAATAAATTTAGTCAATGATCAAATTAAAAAAGCAGCCAAATACATCTTCAACTAAAATCAACAGTATTGGAAGTAATACAACAACTAGTAAATCTAATAAGTAATCAATTCTAAAATAAGCCAAATAACCTATATAATAACCAACAAAAAGCAAGTCTCCCCCCTTGAAAATACAATCTGCTTCTATTTAGTTGATAGATGTAGCTTCTCCTAGAGCTTAAAAAACATCCAAACACATGTCCCCAAATAATATTTAATAATTTACTAAAAGCAAACCTAAATCACCTTCTATTAATATGGCCTCCCCTGTACAACAATTTATGAAACTATCAGCCAAGATGAAACAATCATTTAATAAATAATAATGTAGTAGTGCTAGAAATAATACATACATTCCTAATAATACTAATTAAAGAAAAAATAGTGTCACTCATATTCTAAACATTCTCAAATCGCCAAATAAAAATAGCTCTCAATAGATTTAACATATTTCATCAACTCCTAGAGATTAAGAATCTAAAAGAAGCTTTAATAATAAAAAAGTTCATCAATTAGAATTATAAGTTATGTCAGATCTGCAAAGCTTATTGCAAAAAAAAACATGTTTAACTCATAGAAGTTCTATGACTAATAAAAATTGTATTAAGAAGAAGCTCAACACAAGAGAACTTAATTAATTTAAGTGTTTAAGATTACCCCTATCAAACAGAGACTTTAATAATCAATAAAAAGAATGATTTTCTATCTACATAGTTAAATATTTATAATTCATGTTATCAAATTATCAAATTAAATCTATTTAAGCTCTTTAATTATAAAAATAACATTAATTTTTTTTATAACTTAAATTTATAATCATTTAATAAAAATCTGTTTTCTTGAATTCTAATTTTCTTATTTGATAGCCTCATTGTATTACTTAACAAATTATAACATTCTACTTAAGACTATTCCAATTATACAATAAAAAAAAGCAAATCCATAAATTATTGTCAATTTTACAGTTGCTATTACCTAAAAATTTATTTATTACAATTTATTTAAGGCAATTAAATCATAACAGTTATCACCCAAATATTAAATATATTAATGAACATTTAAAGTAAACCAAATGACATTCCTTAAGTTCTAAAATTTTATTTTTGAATACCAATCAAGCTTGCACTTGATATCTATAATCTAAAAATCTTTTTACTGAAACAACTGTGAAAATGTATTGCTGCATAATTATTGTGATAATAAAAAAGAAGACTCTTAAACTCAAGAGACAGTTCGAACATGTTAGTTACAAAGTACTTAATAAAAAATACATTAAAGAATTTGTTGTTTTTTCTGTTAAATATTTTAATGCATTATCCTATTATTAGATATTTTTGCCTATATATCTTGCAAATATTATTGCTAACAAATCAAAGACATTTATTTACAAATAATTATTGGACTTTCTTAAATTGCAAATCCTAAAATAAATTATCCATTTTCAGAATCTATGAGGTATAAATTTATTTCATTTTTAAAATTATGATATAATTATGTAACTTCATATGATTACCACAACTAAATTATACTCATTATTGAACCTGCAGCAATTGCAATTATTGCTCTATCTGTATTAAGAATCTCTTTTAGAGCTTAAAGCAAATTTCCTTTTGATTATATTGGAATCAATTGTAATTCTGGTATTTTACTAAATGCATCAATTTTAAAAGTAGAAAACGAGCATTAAAAACAAATTGCAAGACCTAAAATTATCATTAAAGGTAATAAGAAAAATATTAGTGTTGAAATTTCTCCATTTTTTATTGAAACCTGATTAAACTCTTTTAATTGATTATATATAATCAAAGTGATTATTCCACAAACTAATCTTCCTGCATATCCATACTAATTAAATAATGCTATCTATTTTGGTATTTATTCTTCAGCAAAATGTTTAGAAATCATAGTCTAAATTATGATTGTTTAAAATTGTTATGCCAAAATCTAAAACCCAATTGCAAAATACAAATATTCATATATCAATTTCCAGCAATATCCTAAAAAATAAATATAAGAAAATATTGTTAAAAATAAACTAATAAAAAAGATATTTACAGTATATTAGATATGATCTATTATGAACCCTCCTAAAGCAGAACATATAATCTTTAAAATGGTCATAATGGCAAAAAAGAATAATTAATTTATTCCTGAAAATAAGCTTAAATTATAGTATTGATAAGCAATAAAAGTGTTTACAAAATCTGAGAGATAGAGCAGATTGAAAAGTAATTTTATTCGAAATTTGGAAATCATCAAATCAATTTTGTATTATAATATTAATAATAAATTTTTCATCAAAAAAAATTAAAGTTAAAAAAATAACTCAGAAAGAATGTGATTTTCTTTTTTTTAATAGATTTTAAGCCAATATTTGCCTAATAATATCTAGAACATCTAAGTCTTAACTCTTAATTCCAAAAATTATTATTTATAACATTATATTCAAAATATGCAATAATAATTCTTACTTAAAATTTGTTATAAATAATCAAAATTCTAATTCAACCTTTTAATCATAATTAAATGATAGAAAATATTTTTATTTTAATATATATTGCTGATATTACAACAATATTTATTAAGTCATAAAACCAATAATTTGAATTTCTTAATTAGAAAAAAAAGGTTCTGTTCCGTTTTATCTTAATATATTTTTTGTTTATGTATATAGTATCTAATTATTTTTGATACCGAAATTGAGATTAAAAATAAATAGTACCTTTCATTTTTTTAAAACAAAAGAAGTTAATTTAGATTGATACCTTTTTATCAATATTATGATATTTTATAATTTTTTTAAAGTATAGTTCCAATAAGTATTAATGGTTCAGATAATTAGAATAATGTAATATAGGATAGGAAACATTGAACTATAGAATTAAACGAGTAGCCAAAGTAACTATAACTTCATTATTCATATATATGCAATTTTTTTATACTTTCTAACACAAAAAATTAATTAACAGCAATATGAAAGTTGAATAATAAAATTTAAATAATATCGTGATTTTTTTACTACTAAATTATAAAAATACATATATGCTCAATTGACTACTTTTAAATTTATTTCATAATTAGTTCCATTTATTGTTGTGTATGTAAAGTTAATTTTTGATCCTTAAATAAACAATTCATTTATATCTTGCAATATTTTCCTTCTTTTTTAGATCTAATTAACTTTATTCATAAAAAATTTGAAATGCAACATAATAATAAATGAAATATAAAAAATAATAGCTTGGTTAATATTACTCATTATTAAAAAACAAGAATGAAAATTAAAATTCAAAATGGATTAATATTTGTAAATCTTTTTGATTTTTAAGTTAATAGCTTTTCGAAAAGATAATTTGATTAACTGCTTTTTTAGATTCTTTAACTTTCAAAATGATGAAGGTTTTCACTTCTTGACAATTGAAAAAAATAGAGTTTTTCAAGCTTCTATTAAGCTATATTTAATTAAGGAAGTACAAATATTAAATAAAATTTATAATAAAAAAGTTTAGTTATTGTACACCCTTAGATTAGTTAATTTCTTTTGTTGATTATTTTGCGAAAACATTCATAATAATTGATAAACTTTTTAGTTATTTCAAATATTAAGAATCAATAGAAAGTTAAATATTAAAATTTAATTTTTGGATGAGAACAACTTTTTAATATTCAAATAATGAATCATAGTTAAATTTCTAAAATATAAATGTATGATATCTCTTTTAAATATAAAAAGGTGTGCAATATGTAAAAAATTCAATAAATATGGTATTTAAATTTATTAGTAATTCTTTTATTAATGTGTTTGTAAGATAAATGAATAGATTTATGTATAATTAATTAAAATAAAAAACAAATAATAATAAACAAGCTAATATGTCTACAATTGAGAAGCAAATATAGAAATAAACAAAACTAAGTAATGAATTCGAGTAAATATACAATTCATAAGAAACAAATTCAAATTCATCTTTCTTTGATGAAGAGAGAAGTTTAGATTTCGATGATGATAATTCATCAGATGAAAAATCCTTATCAGATATATGGGATATTGTATAAATTAGCATTTAGAATGTAATTTTTTCTTTTAAAAAATTTAGTGTTAAAATCCAAAATCTATTGAAGAAAATCCAAAATCCAAAGTGCATCTTTAAAGAACAGGTTCTAATAGAATGAGTTAAGAATTATTTGATGAAAGAGATTGTAAGTGCATTAGCATAAATTCTAATTATGGTAAGAGCATTGCCATAGACGTGCTTGGACAAGGATCCATTGGTAAGTAAAACAAGAAGGATAAGAAATTATAAAAATTAGTTCTTAAATAAGTTGAATAGATTAATAATAATAATAATAATAATAATAATAATAATAATAATAATAATAATAATAATAATAATAATAATTATGATTGGCAACAACAATAAAATATAAATTATAAAAGAAATTATTAATAGACGAGAGTTAATTATTAATAAGAATAATAAACGAGATTTAATTTTTAGTAAGAATAATAAAGAGATTAAGTTCATAATAGAAAATAAGTTATTGAATGTTAAAAAATAAGTCTTGCATACTTAATGATGGAAAGAGAAGTGGAAAGAAAAGCATTAATTAAAGCTAAAAATTTTATTGAGAATTATATGCCTAATTGTAAATAAGAAGAAGTTCTTCAAATGATTACAGAAACTTATAAAATCATGCTCATTCCAGATTAATAATTTTAATAATTAGCTTAAGTATTGAATTAAGAAGACCGCCTATTTCAATTGAACTTATCCTTACTTCGCCTTAATTTAAGTCATAATGTACATCCACTAGCCTTGAAATCGGAATAGAAATTAATATAGTATTTTTAAGGGTTTTGAAAAGTAATTCAAAAAACAATGCAAAGGAAAAATGAGAGTTTAATTATAAATTTGTTTGTAGCTTACATGAGCACAAATTTAAATATTAAATTTTTTTTTAATTTTTATTATATTATAATCAAAAAGTTCTTACAAATAAAGTTTTAATCTCATAAATTCTCTAACATAATTATAATAACTAGCAGTAAATATTCCTCAGATATTATCTTCCATAAGTTCCATATTATCTACTAATGATAATGTGGAGAAGAAGCTATAAATATAAATATCTAGTAAAATGTTGATAAATTATTAAGAAAATATGCTAGATTTTTAAATCTAAACTTTAAATATTAATAAAAATTATTCTATAAATCTTTATCTGATGGAGGTTTCAAAGATTTTATAATATAAATTATAGCTAATATTTTTATTAAAAAAATTATCTTCTTTTTTATTATTTGTTTTATTATTCTTACGACTATCTTAAGCAAAATCGATATTCAGATACAAATAAAAAATTAATCAAACTGTGTGTTTCATATATATTAATTAGTATGAAATATTATAATTTACAAATTTATACGAATTGATTTTCATTATTTTAAATATATATAATCAACAATGCTCTAACTGAACGTAATTACTTAATCTAATCTTGAATTTATTTTAAACTGATCCTAAAAAAACTTCAATTATTTATTTATTATCATTTTTATTTTCTGATATCTCCAAATGCATCTCTAATAATGTGTTTGATGCCTTTGTTTTTAATATTTTGCATCCAAATTGACTTTTTACAAATGCTGTTGTTTCTAAAAGTTATGATTTAGGCAATACTAATTTAAATAAAAAATTATTTATATACATTGTTTAATATCAAATGTGTACACTACTTTATTTTCTTCTTTCCTTTTTTACTTAAAACGTAGTTAATATTGAATATTTTCAATTTAATAATCGCTGAAAAAATACCTTTAACAATCTTTTTGCATTTCTAATTATTCATCATAAAGTTATAATTCTGATCTAAATTAAACAGGAGCAGTAGTCTCATAAATTTTTTTAATTTTCTCTTCTATAGATAAT